TAAATAATAATAATAATAATACTTGACTAAAATTATTTAATTTTCAGCTAACAATGAAAAATTTGTCAGTTTGCTTAAGAGAAGTAATAGATGATTACGAATTAATGGATGAAGAAAGTGAAAGAATACGATTCTTATTAAGATGGGTTGCAGGAGCTTATAGTGATATAGACCAAGACAGTTTTAATTTGATGTAAAACGTTTTATTTTTATATTGAAGTTGTCATGAAATTTTATGTAAGTGTATTTAAGTTGTAAATACGTTTGGAGTTAAACTTGAATAATACGTTTATTGTACTATTAATCAGGTGGTATAATTATTTAAACAGTTTTAAAATTTTGACTTGTAATGTACTGTTTTAATTGCTTTTCTTGCAATAAACGTAAAAAACTTCTGTAAAAAAATGTTTTTTTTGCTTGTGTTTTTGATTTCACTTCATTTAATAAAATAGTGAAATTTGTTTTAAACATTAGGATTAATATATCAATAACAAAAAATTGGTATATAACAACCCAAGGACGGACAAGTAAAGAAAAAAGCGTCCGAGGCTAAGCTGAGTATCGTATGACGAACGGACGATCGGAGGTTTTTTTACTTCAAACCGTGAAATACGATTTTGTGTGTCCCCGTGGTTAGAAAGAGAGTATTTTTTCTTTCGTTGCAGTACGGTGAAAAGTACTTGTTTGCTCGCAGATACAAAATGATTAAAAGCCATGCCGGCATAGAGTACTTTCGATTTATACATTATATTATGAATGTCATTTTTCATATAGAGCACATCTTTATGGTTCCACAAAAAGACTGATTAGCGATGATCCCCACTGTCGATATTATCAGAGAATATAGAATATATCTTTTATATATATGCTATATTCCCTGATATTATTTTACCATCCTCTTCTAAAAGAATGAGTGTCACGTGACTGTCGACAGAATACGCCGTGATCTAATTGGTCTTGAGGGACGAAAGGCGGTACATTTAAATGTACATATGAGATTAAGTAGACAAGCGCTGGCTAATCGAGGTCGTTTTATTCGTTTGAGCTTAGATTTATTTTTAAAATTTAATCATTCAATTTAGATTAAATAATTATTAGAAATATGTTTGATAAAAAAAGTTCATATAAATTAATACCGTCTAAAATAGTCATTTTAATACAATCTTCATATATCTTATTTAAGTATTATTAAAACGATGCTATTTATACATTTTTTTCATACAGAGCGAAAATGAGNGACAATAGAAAGAAAATACCGTACCTAGCATTAATATAATCTTATTTGCCAGTAGAAGAAGACTTCACATGTCCAACATTTTCGAGCGTAGGTTTTAGACGGACCTGGTACGGGAAAAAACCTTACCAAGCTATTAAAAACTCGTAACTGAATGTAGTAGGGGATTTTCAATGAAAAAGGTCTTTCCGTGTACGATCTAGGGAAAAAGTTCCGATATTGAATCCGCTTAACCCAACGTTGATCGTATAGCATTGCCGTTATAGCATTGGAGCTATTCACATAGACATTTTTTGCTTATTTCATTGCGGAGCTATTCACATAGACATTTTTTGCTTATTTCATTGTGAATGTTGATATTGAGAAGCTATTCACGTAGACATTTTTTGCTTATTTCATTGTGAACGTTCATATTGAAAAGGGGGTTCCACTGTTCCGCTAAACTCAAAGTGAGTGAACAGACTGAACAGACCTATACCTCTTTTTCCATTAGGCAACAAAACCTATAGGTCGCAACTATGGGTGTTTTCCGCAATCGTCACCAGCAAAAGTAATAGTAGGTTGCGCTCTACGTTACCATCAGGTCGGTAAGTCAACTACCTTGAATTAACTGGCGCTCTGTTCCGTAATCTGGCCAGTTAAAATAGCAGATCACAGTCAACAGCGATGAAATCTTCACTTTTTTCTCGACTTTCACGTCGTCTGCTGTTTTAACTGGCCAGATTACGGAATAAAGCACCAGTTTAATTCAAGGTAGTTGACTTACCGACCTGACGGTAACGTAGAGCGCAAATTTAAATTACTTGCTGGTGACGATTGAGCGGCGTAACCACCACGACCTACGTAACTTTACAGCCTCTGATTTTATCATTCTGGTAAAGAGAGCACGGTGTAAGATGTACGTGAAGTTATGCGTAGTAATTATAGTAATTACTACTAAGTGATGCCATATGGTCGATTTTATTAAACCATATGAATATCTATATTTTTGGAGGTCGAATTTTGGATAAAAAATAGATTGTAAGCTTGCCGCAAACAGCACAAACCACGTCAACTTTTTATTATCTACCTGTAAGATTAGTTGCGGCTGGTTTATAATTGATTAAATGGCTCTACTATAAGTAGTCATAATTATTTGGATCAGCGCCATCTAGCGTTGCAGATTTCTGAACCAAAAAGTGGCCCTAAACTTTTGAACCAGAGCTTTAGCGCGTAGAGCTATTTAATCAATTATAAACCAGCCGCAACTTATGATGAAGCTATAACATAAAAAAATAACGATACATGTGTTTTTGGCGGCAAGTTAACAATGTGAATAGCTCCAATCTCTCTCTATACTCATCTCTGGCTTAAGCTTTAGCTGCTTACAGACAGAGAAGAGAATAGTCATGTATTAGTAAAAGGAAAAAATTTTCTCGTACTTGGCATTGTTGAGATAAAGAATTAAACCATATGAAAATGCCGAACGAACGACATATGGTTTGAAGAGTGTGATTTTTGCTTCTCATTATCCATATAGGTACTAAAGTACCTTACATAAACAAACGAAGCATACTTGGATACATGACCCCTCTGTTGCACTGTACATCTACTTTGTTGTTGCAAAAATGGCACATCGGCTCATGAACGATTTGATGAATTTAAAAGATTCGCCCAAGGATGTAATCAGCTGGCTAACAAGCGATGAATTTGGCGTAAGTGTAATTTTTTCTCAACTTGAGTGTCCTGCATGTGGGGTTACGGCTCGTCTTTCTGAATATATATTTTTTGCTTTATTATTACTATTATTACTATTGTAGCTTATAGTAAGCAACTGTAATCCATGACTTTAAATGGATTTTTCAGGAAATGCAGTGGCTGAAATTCAGCAAAATTTGTACAAAAGAAGAATTTATTTTTTTCTTCTTGAATTACCTGCAAGATCAGTTTGGAAGGTAAAAACGGTTTGATTGGTCAATTTTTTTTATTCACTGAATGGATCCGATTCGAGCATTTTTTTTTTTAGTTTCAATCTTAGGTAGTTTTTTAATTTTTTACTTTGATTTTTTAGTGTTATTCAAACTGCTTGTGGTACTGAGGAAACACCAGCCAAAAAAATTTTATCTCACTTGCGAACAAGTAAATTCAATGAACCAGCCAAAAAAGACGCGAAGGTTATGAAAAATACTCCACTTTCCACACCAGATATAATAAGAAAGTCAGCTTCAGTATCACAGAGTAATAACATTTCTGGTTTTAGTAATAATAGTGCAACATCGATCATACATGATTTATCAGAAAGCGATAATTTCAGAGAAAACAGTCAAGTTATCTCAAATAGTACATTTAGAACTTCCAATAACAGTACACCTCTGGTCAAGACAAACTCTGTAACTAAAGCTCAAAAAAGAGTTGAATTAAAAAGCTGCAGTCCTAATCAATTGGGTAATATCAATCCTGCATTTCAAGAAAATTGTGATTATGAACAAGCTGATGTAAGCAGAAACATTAGTTCTTATGAAGAGTCCTTTCCCAGTCTTGAAAGCAGTACTTCTGTTGGCGTGAGTGCTTATAGTACTCCCATCAAAGATGACTCTTTGAATCGATCATACTCTAACCGAAAATCGAGTTCTTCGGTATCAAACCATAACTTGCAAAGTCCACTCTCATCATTACACAACGATTCTCTGTTTATGATAAGTCCAATTCATTCAAAATTTCAATACGTGCATAACAATAGCCAAAAAAATTACAGACAGTATAAACAAAATTCAACAAGTACGCCCGATAGATCCCAAAATAGTGGATCCAAAAATTCAAAAAACTATTCAAGACAAAATATTAGTTTAGGGAATTTCATAGGAGCTAAGAGTCGAAGCGCCAAAAAAAGTAGTGGAAAAAAATCCAACAAAATGAAAACATCGTGCAATGAACAATCGAATGAAGAAGATAAAAGAAGTGTTTTTTCCGACACATCTAATAACAGGACAAAACAGAAAAGAAAAGTAAATCCTACTTCTCTTGATGTCACAAATGAGAAAGGTACTGTATTATATTAATATTGCTATGATCAATCTAATGAACGCCAAATTGAAAAATGATTAGTTTTTATACTTTAGACTGTCAAATAAAACTTTATATTGCAAATTATTATTGTAATATGATATAGTTAATATTTTATTTGCTTATGGTATGTCTCTTTTTTTTTTTTATAAACTCATTTGGTAGAGAAATATTCTTGTTTTTATTCAGCATACTGAGAATACATGAAAATTGTTCTCTTTTTAAAATTTAAAGTTACTAATATAACCTGAGTATTCAAATGTAAGAAAAAAAAATCAGGTTTTATTGATAAAAAAACTTTGCCATGTAAGTTGAATGCGGAAAGTTTTACAAAAGGCCATTAATACGAATGTTCCAGGAACCAACGAAAATACTGCTTTTGGAGACGTTTCAAGACCTTTTACTCAAAATCCTCAGTTTGTTGATGTACCACCAATCGATAAATCTGCTGATAATGAATCGTTCCAAGTTGAAAGAGGACTGATAAAAATTGAAAGACAGAAAAAACCGGAACCTTGCTTGGATGATAACAAAGATACAAAGAAAGATTTAACTGACGAGAAAAATGAAAGTAGGTGGAAAAGATTTCCTCGTACGTCTCAAAAAACGATAAAACCGGTTGTTACAATAACTCCCAATAGAACTTTGGTAGAAAACATTGAAATTCTAAACGTACTGGCTGAGGTGTACAGTGGTTTCTTAGATCATAACTTAGTTCTTAATCCGATGACAGAATTATATTTTATTATTTACTTGATTACTGTTCAGTATACAAATACAGAAAAACTGAAATCTCTTGTTAAACAAAGTACAGAAGATAAAATAGAAAATGATAGTTTGAACAGCTTAAAAAAGAGTTCTTCGTCATTAAGAAAGTCTTTAAATTTTGACAGCTTGTCCGACAACACATTAGACAACAATATTAAAAATGATATGGAGAACAAAGTTCAAGATAACAAATTTTTGCAAGATTGTGATTCTATAAATTTAGCAAGTATGGCGCGAGACAATTTGAACATGCTAGATAATAAAGTAAAATTGATGACAGTCAGTGAAACTGATGATAGTAAAGTAAACGATGCAAGGGACAATAGAAATCTTGAAGGATCAGAAAGCACTGACAATTATGTTGAAAAGAATTTCAACAACCCACACAATTGTGTATACTTTTCTACTCAAGTTTTAAACCTTCAACGAGAATTCTTAAAGTGCTTGGACAGAGTGACTTTGAAATTACTTTGTGAAAATAGTCTCATTGGATCGTATCAACCAGAACTGTGTGAATATTTAGATTTGGTATACAACATTAAAGTTACTGAAGCTAATAAAATGAAGTCTGTATTAAGTATTGGGTAAGTTACCAAATTTTATTATCAAGGTATTACTCAACAGTACAAATTTAACAATTTGATTATCATGAATGTTCCAGTACAGTAGACTTGAATGTATGCTTCCAAATAGAGACGGATAATTGCAATGAATTCCCGACACCAGTAGCATTTAGCTCCTTTCGTAAGCAGCGTGACATGTTTTATGACATTTTGAAATTTTGGAAAGACAATCACCTGCTACCCGGATCGAATTTCAAAATTGCATTGGACAGCAAAATTAGAAGTATCCTTGGGTTAAATGCCGATGTCACAAATTTAACTCATTTCACGCGACTTTTCAAGTCCCAAATGCTTATCTCATGCATCCAAAGTAGGAATCAGGTATGCAATAATATTGATTTTGCATCGTTCGTTTAACTGCGAATGTTGCTTTCTGTATAAACTTCAACCGTTGTGCATTTTAAACTTTAGGAAGACTTGGACGAAGAAACAGTCAGCTTTCTCAAAAACTTGAAAGACAGTAATCCAGGAAAGTTTACGCAGCTGCAGCAGAAATTGATTACACCATTATCTCAAAACGGCCCGGTGCCATTACCCTCATTTCCTGGAATTCAAGAATTTTACAAAAACTTTATTTTATTAGCAGCCAATCCTTCCTTTTACACGTACCTTGAAAACACGTTTGTGCATGAAATTATGGAACTCAACAATTCACACTTTGTCGGTAGTGACGTTGAGGAAAAAGGTAAATTATATTTGTGCACGTTAGATCTCCAAAAATTGTAGTATGTTGATTAATAATGTGTAATTTTTTGCAGAAACCGACGTTGACGAGCAGACGAAACAAAATTTTATTCTATGCATGTCGAAGCTGAAACTTCTTGCAAAATTTTTAGGATTCATGATTGCTTTACCATACAAGTCAGAAACTAGTATGCTGAAAAACGTGATAAGTTCTCAAGTGATGTTACGAAGCGAAGTGAGTAAACGTAAATCTGGTTTCAATTGAGCCCTTAATTAAAGTATCGCTTAACTCTTGATGTTTTTAGTGCTTACCACGAATAGATTTACAATATTGTCTGCAATCAGCATTGGTATTAGGAAAATTGTCACTTACGGTTCCATGGTTGGTGGAATATTTGGCGATGATGGATCACGCATCTCTTAGATTGCCTTATTATAAAAAAGTCTTAGAAATGCTCTATTGTATTTATCGAGCGTCCAACTATCTCGCAGCAACCAACGAGGAGGAGCTCATGTCTCAAAAAACTGCGATTCTGTTGAAGCTTTCGATCGGCTGGTTGTTTGAATTACCAGTATTCCCAGTGGAATTTTATTGTATATGGCAGTCAAAGTACAACAGCAGGGTACTGAAAATGATTCGCGAAACACAGGTGTTAAATACAAAAGCTGATTGTGAAAGCTTGACCGATGCCGAGACGTCCATGGTCTCGGTTAAGCATAACTTGTTTTTAGATAAATTAGAGATTGTTGATGATGTGATATTGTACAATTGTTGTCCATTTTTAAAAGAGTTGAATATTTTATTGATATCTGGAAAGCCTAATGTAAATAGTGCGTCGTATAGGCATGTTACTCCAGTTAGTAGTCAACTAGAAAAATCTAATCTTAAAAAAACAAGTGCCAAAAATTTAGAGGTACGTGTTGATGTTGCGTGTCATTTTACGTGCTACAAGTTACTTAAGGTTTTATACTAATTATTGATTATTCTATTAGATTCAATTGGAAGAAGCATTTTTTCACGGTCAACCAATGTCCACCAGAAAAACTGTAGACTACGTGGCAGAAAGAGTAGCATCTAGTTGTGTTAAATATATTCGTGACAAATTGTTACCTGTTGAGAGACAAAATAATAGTGAGGCAGTGAAGGAAATGGCAGATAAAAATTATAACAAATTTTCAGTAGAAGATACTGAACTCATCATCAATGTAACGATTCTCTTATTTAAAATTTTATTTCATTGCAAATTAAACTAATGACTTATTTACATTTTTAGTACCTGTCAAAGGACATTGATGCAATATCAGCAAAAGCTGTGAAGAATATAAAAGAGAGGACAGAAGAAGTGATTCCTGGAATCTGCGAAGCTCGAGTTACTCAATCAATCACAGCGCTATTATCCGAAGATTGCTTGAATGCTGTTAAAAACATGTGTATAAAAATAGCAACGAGAATGGCTTTAGATAGAATAGATCAATGGATTTGGTCTCACATTGTTGGCAGCTCTATTTTCACAAAAGATATTGTCCTCGAATTAAAAAAGGCATGTAAGTTGGATGATGAGGTAATAGTTGATAAAAAATACCATAACCAGAGTGCACCGAGTCCTACAGAGATTATAGATGAGATTAAAGTAAATTACCCTGAATTTTATCTTAACTTGACATAACATAATCCAAGTATTATCATCGTTAATCAAAAATTATTTTTTATTTTAGCATTTAATTTTTGAATTACTTGAAAGTAGAGGGATGCTATTAACACAAGAAACGTTATCTAAGTTTTGGAATCGATTGCATGCGTGCTTGACAGAGCGCAGCGATTTGAAATCTATTCCCGAAAAAATGATAATAATTTTAAGTATCGACTTGTGTTTATTTTCAAGTAAGTGATTTATAAGCGTAAAAAGTAATTTATTTTGAATATTAATATCATGACTCAAACTATGAAATGTGTTAATAAAATGTATATTAATTTTGTAGTGACTTACCGCCCTGAATTATTTACGGATGAAGTTCAAGAAAAAGTTTTAAGAGCGTGGAAAATAGATCGTTTGAAAATATTCAAAGCAGATACTCCATTATCGAGGTTACTTAGTCCAAGAAACATAGAATTAATGGTACGCTCTGGTAATAACGACGTTTGGCTGATTTGTGGTAAATTCATGAAAAAACTGCTCAAAGAAAACATTTTACCCATCAATGACTTGTGTGAGCAAGCTGTTGCTGTTTTGAGGACGGATTGGGATACTGTAAGTATATTTTTGTAGTATTTCTTAATGAAATTGTGGAGTTTTTATAGAGAAATGAGCGGGGCATGTTATCAGTACAAAAAAATATCTTGTAAAGTTTTATCTCTGAAATAGTAGTTATTGTGTTTCGTGACACATGTCACCAGGGCAAGCACCAGGTGCGAGAGACCTTCAAAGCAGTGCCTGAAAAGTTTCTTGTGCTTGCCCTAATTGGGCTTGCGTACCAGGTGCAAACTCTATTTTTTCTACTGAGGGCACAGTAAACATCCAAAGGTAAACAAAAAAAAAGTACACCCAAACCCAAAGCAAGTAAAGTAAAAAAAGTAGGTAAGATTTAAAAAATTGTTTTTGTAAAAACTTAAGTTGGTACATTTTTATAGTGAGGATAAAAGTGCACATTACACAGTTTACTTAGATTAAGTAAAGTTTTTTCTTCTTTTCCCGTTCATTTGCAGAAGTACCTTACATTTTTACTAGAGCAAAAAGCACACAACCATACTTTAAACGATTTCATAAATTAGTAAAATAACTGTTGAATCAATTATATATTATTGGGTTGGTCAATATAGAATTTAAATAATTATACATAAAGTATGTACCTTAATTGGTGGTTGAAAGTTGACATATAAATTATATAAGTTATTCTTGTGTCAGTGGCTCACAATGCCTTAAAGAATCGTTCAAAAAAAAGTTGGTTGAAAAAATTATTTTCCATAGTAGTTGTACCTCAAATACTATTCACAATCACAACAAATGTCCAAAACGATTCCACTTCAAAGTTTTTGATTAGGATCAAACGAAGTGCAAGAAAGCTTTTTACTTTCAGTTAACTTTTCAAGAGTCATATCAATTGTATCTAAGAATCTTTTATTCTCTGAATTAGAAATTGCTCGGTTGAGGCCATACTCTGAAGGCTTTGATTTTTTTCCAAATATCTTATATATGTGAGTTGCGGCCTATAGATTTACAATAGGTTTTAAATTGATTTGTTTTAGTATTTTTTAAGACATGTCTTGTTTCTGCCAAGACTTTTTTAAAGTGTACAAAAAATTGTAAATCTCATCGGTAGATGTATGATTTGAAAGCAGCTTTTCTGAGACAAACAGCTTTCTCGCACTCTTCGTTCCACCAAATACAGTTGTAGTTATCATTTTTTCTATCTTGTTTAACTATTGTGCTTTTCAGAGTTAGTAAAGAAGTTAGCGTTGTTATGAAAAGTGGTAGGTTGTTTGTATTTGTAGTTTAAAGAAGTAATGGTCGACTTGTTTATGAAGTTTATGAAGAGTTTGTACCTTTCGAGGACATCAGTGTTAATGAAGTCCGTCACAGAGAAGTGGTTGCGATTGGAGCTCAGTAGCGAGTTGAATTTTTTCCAGTTTAGTTTATTCGTGTTATAGCTATAGTCCCTTTTAGGTAAATATTCAAGATTAACATTGATTGAATAGTTATGGGAAAGTGATCGTTTCCCCATAAATCGTTTAGGGTCGACCACTCAGATGTCAAGGCCAAATTGGGAGGGATAAAAGTTAGGTCAATAGCAAAGAATTTGCATTCATTTTGAGTGATTGTACAATGGGTAGAAGGACCATCGTTCAAAAGAAAGAAAGTTTCCAGGTCTAGGTTATCAGCTATTATTTTTCCATTAGAACAATTTTTCCCGTTTCCCCATAATACACGATGGGCGTTAAAATCTCCAAGAACTAAGTTAGAGTCATATTTTTTCTGCAGCATTAGAGGGCGTGTGCCAATCTTGTATGGTAAGATTGTTGACATGATAGTTATTGTCACTATCTTTATTATTACTTCTATCTTAGTGATTGTTGTTGTGACGTCTGTAACGTGCCAGAACAAGGATCTCTTCTTGATTGAAATGGATTAAAATGGAACCGTATTCAAGACTATTATTAAATTTGCGACACCAAAAATGATACCTTTTCTAATAAAAAATGCAAGGCCTCCTTTCTCGCCTTCCAGCCTATCGAATGTAACTGATTCGAAGCCTTTTAGGGAGAAAGATTCTTTAGATTTTAGCCAGGATTCGATTATGATAATTACATCATAATTAATAGCATATTTGCACAGATCCAACTTATTCCTAATACTGCTAGCATTTCACTAAGCAAGATGCTAAAAGAGCTGCTATCAGTGAACATTTCTAGAAAGGATAAAATTTACAAACCGAACACCTTTTTGATCGACACCTTTTCGATTTGTCTGAAACTTTTTTTGCGGATTTTATATCGAAAAAAAGGGATAAGTACGTGTGCGATGAATTTTTTTTTCATATTTCCGATAATATATGTGATCGGACACTCAAGAATAGCGAGTTTTTGGCTTCGTCTCTCGTTTTCAAAAATTCATAGTTCCAAATCTTAGTCAAATTTTACGTCAAAAACATGCTTCTGAAACATGGTACCTTTTCAATTATTATTGTTAAAATAATAATTTATTTAGCGCGTAATGGCCAAAAAACGATTTTTCGCTGATAAAAAGAAAAATCTGTAACGCATATCAAATAAAGATAAATAAAAAATTTGTAGATAATTAAAAGATCTACAACTTTTGTTTTTAATGTTTGTCAGTATAACCTCAAAATTGTATATTATCATGCAAAAAAGCAAGAGATCACGATTTTAACAATTATTAAGAGTAATTTTTTACTTGTTAAACGGAGATGAG